TGAGCCTCCCCTGCAGCACCAAGGGCAGGATGCCCAGGCGAGGGGGAACAGCAGGGGCTGGCAGTGCCCATGGGCATCGGGGCGAGACCCTCCTCCCCTTAGCCTTGCTTAGGGCTTTGTAGGTCCCACTGCTCCCGGATGCATTCAGGGCACTGCCAGCTGGGGCTGCCCATGGCAGAGCAAGAGCCTTTGCTTGGGGCAGAGATAGCGGCGCAGAGCACCCCAGAGGGCTGCGAGGGCCCTATGGCATGGGTCCAGCTCAGTGGGCAGCACTGAGGATGCCCCAGCACCAGCCCCTGCCCACAGAGGGTCTGAGGGGGGCCAGAGCTGCTGCAGGGGGCACGTTGCAGAGGGGGGTGGGCAGCCCCAACCCCTTGTCCCTGTCCCCCCCACCCCCAGCAATATCCTCCCAGCATCTCTCCCCGTCCCACCTTCCAGCTGCCCAGAAGATACGACCCTCATGCCACGCTCCAGGGGGTCGGTGAGCAGCAGTCCCCGTGGGGCGTAGATCTTCTCGTTCTGCTCCTGGATGTACTTGGAGATCTTCTTCAGGACCTGTCGGCCCAAGCACAGACGCTCAGCCCTGACACTCCCCCTGCCAACCCCACAGCAGCCACGTGCTCTGCCCAAGTCTGGGGACTCCTGCCCTAACCACGAGCCCCTCCTGCTCTCCCAGAGCTGGGAGAGGACTTGCAGCCCCTGCCCTGAGCACCGCTGTGCAGCGGGGCTCTGTGCTCTCACCACGCCACACGCCAGCCCCTACATGCCCCCATGCAGCAAACTGCCGTCACCAGCACTGAGGCCTTGTGGCCATGGCCATCCCCAAACCTCTCCCGGGCCTCAGCACCTTCTCGTAGTGCGTCTCCATGCAGAGAAAGATGAAATAGGCAGTGGCGCAGGCCAGGCACCCCTCCAGGTATGAGCTGCCCCCGATCTTCTCCGCCTCGGCATAGAAGCTGTTAAGCGTTTTCACCGTTTCCTCGAAGAGCTGGCGCTCAATCTAGAGTGGAGACTGGGGTGAAGACAAGTCTGGCCACAGGCGGAGCCCTCTGCACTGCCCCATCCCCAGGATGACCTAGGGGATGCTGGGCCCTCTCTTCCTTCCTCAGCTGGTGTCTCGGCTCCCTGTCCCCTGCCCACCACCCATGCTGAGACTGGCTGAGCCTGGAGCCCTTCACCAGGGCCACCGAGTCCCAGCAGCACGCAGAACCCCCCAGCCCTGGTGCCCCGGTGCTCACAGCCCTGTGCTGTGCACATGGGTGCAGCTACTGGGCCAGGCAGCGCCTGCCCGCACAGAGCAGGCACTACCACGGATTCCCATGCCACCTCCCCGCAGGCAGAGAGCTGTGACTGCCTGCACCCTGCCCTCGGGGACTGCCCTGCAATCCAGCTGTTTGGCACAGCTGGCTCAAGGCCAAACAACACCCCCTGAGGGGGCCCTGTGCCTTCAGACCCCTGTCCCTGCTCCTCCTCCCCGCTGAGCCCCCTAGGTCACAGAATCAGGGCACCCCACAGCCCTGCTGGCCTACCCGGCTCTCCAGCTCAGGGGGAAACTTCGTCTGGAACTGGCACGTGGTGCCGTCACTGTAATCCCGCTGCACGAAGACCTTGGTGGCCAGAGACGCGCTGCGCCTCAGCTCCTGCAGGCTGTGCACCTGGGGAGGCGGCAGGGTGAGGCTGTGCCCAGCTGGGGCGCTGGGCCGGCGGGCCGTGCAGAGGGCTGGCACCCCTCCGGCAGAAGGGTGAGCCCCCCACGCAGCCACCACCAGCCCCGGGTATGCAGGGGGACGCTAGGAGGATGGGGAATATCATGGGCCTGAGGCGGACAGCACTGCTCCCCAGATGTCCCCACTGCTCGGAGCTGCTCTGCAGCACCCTGGAAGCAGCCTCTCTCCCGTCAGAAGTATCTGAGCATTTCCCAGTCCCAGTCCCTTGTCACCCTTGAGGAGCAGGCTGGCCCCAGGGAGCCCAGCGCAGGGGCTGTGGGGCCGGGAGCAGCTGGGGAGCAGGGCATAGGGCACTGTGTGTGCCATTCCCTGGGTGTCAGGGCGCTGGGGGCCCCGGGCCCGAGCACAGGGGCTGCGGGAGGCTCGTGCACCCCATGCAGGGAGCAGGCAGCCCCACGGCATGGCGTGTGTCATGCCATGAACGCACCTCAGCGCAAGGGTTGCAAGGTGCAGGGGGAAGGGTAGGAGGGTGCGGGAGCCCCCGCTAGTCGGGCCTGTCCCACCAGCAGGAGCAATGTGGTGCATCTGCTGGAGCATGTGCACACGTGCGTGCCCTGTGCGGATGCATGTCCTTGTGTGTGCACAGGCTACTGCACGTGTGACTCCGTCCCTGCGTGTGCTTGTTCCCTGTGTGCCATGGCCCTGGGGGTGTCCCGGTCACAGGCAGAGGGGGGACAGATCTGTCCCCAGCAGCGCCCCAGCATGCAGCCACCCCGGCAGCTCGCAGGCAGGAGGAGGGAAACGAGTTGAGAGCGGGGAAACAGCAGCAGCAGCTCTGCAGTGGCGGCACAGTGGGGCTGGCAGGGGGTGGCTGCAGGAGCTGTGATCCCCAACCCCATTGCCCAGAGCCCAGCCAGCCCCCCAGCTGCGGCACCCCACGGCATCGGGGCCCATGTCAGCCTCCTCGGGTGTTTGGGCCATAGGGCAGCAGGGGGCAGATGGGGGACTGAGGGGGCCAGGCTCTGCCAAGCGCTTCCCCTTGAGGTGGGGGCCCCTTCCTGCCACGTCCCCCACGGAGCCTCTGCCCCATCCCCTACGGCATTCAGGAAAGGGGCCACCCAGCTGCTTTCTGCTCCAGCCCCACACCAACCCCTCTGCCCAGTGTACCCTACACGGACTCCAACCCCACACCGACCCATCTGTCCCATGGCACCCCATACAGACCTCAGCCTCATACCGACCCCCCCCACCCATACCACCCCACACGGACCCCAGCCCCACACCCACCCCTCTGCCCTAGGGTACCCCACATCGACCCCCGTC